TTCATCAACTAAACACAACTCCATTTCGAGGTTTATAATGCAGTAATATGTAAAACATGCGAAGAAGATGGATATAAACATTACTAGCCATATTGGATTCTTCTTCCAGTTAATTTGATATACTTTGACTGTCAACTACACAGTTAGTGATAAAATGCCTCCCCAAAGTGCTGGACTTTCAGAAACAAGCTTTATTTCTATAGAAATCAGTGGAGAATTTCCATTCACACTGGAAACAGTGACCAAGCAGCATGAGAGCTATTTGCATAATGTTTAATGCTAATTGAGGGTTACCAGTTTTCATTCATCATGGGCCATGTTAGCATGCAATTTTTTAATCCAGCTGAACTATGGCATTAATTGTGCATGCCCCATTCAACCATTTAAGTATTCAAATGACCAATAGCACTGAGCTGATTGCTGCACTCGGCTGTGCATTATCAGAATCAGAATCACGTTTTATTCACCAAGTACAAGGGAATGTCTCTTGTACAGCATATACAGTGTGTATACAATATGTCTGACATGTCATTGCTGTTGGAAGAAAACTTTGCATCTCTAAAATGCCACTTGACATTAGTGGGTCATTCTCCATTTGGAGGGGAAACCATGTCACAAAGGCTGCAGGGCTTAAAAAGACGCTTAAAATATTAGACACAGCTCCAAAAGTCAGTATGTACATTTACACAGTTGATTTCTCTAATTTTTCCTTTTTTCTTTATCCTGTTTCAGAGTCGCTCTGCATCTGTAAAACAGCTCGTCACAAAACAATTTTCAATTTTTAAGAGGTTTAACTTTTGGTCACTGGTGCTATGTTACATTTTAACACAGTATTTTCAACTCTATTAAACTGCTTCTTTGGGTCGAGGCTCATCAGAGAGGAAGCGTCTCAAGGCATGAGAAGGCGAGTCACACTCACTCACTATATTTCATTGATTTATTAATAATTCTGTGTATCAGGCAGCTCATAACTTCTATGTGTCACCGATGTTATGTGCTTTAATGGCTGGATAATTAAAATTTTGTCAAAATAATGCCAAAATATCATTTTTATTACTGATTTTAAATAGCTGCACAAGGTCACCTGATGGCCAACAAGTCAGCCAATTTATAGAATCCTCAGTTCTAACCAGAATGTCACTGGAGTCACCGTCACTGGTGTTACACCATATTCATACAATACCAGTGACTGTAAAATATGTTTGGAATTAAACTCCCCTTTTTGCATATATGATAATAGGAGATGGAAATGTAGATATTAAGATTGTTTAGTTTTGGGATGAAAGAAATTGATTTTTTTTAAAAATGTATCCACCTGAATTCCCACTTTAAATGGAGAATGACCCCAGTCACTAAATTGAGACACACTGCAGCAGCTGTACAGGAGGCTGAGGTCACCATGTCCAGTGCCAAGTGTGGGCTAGAGGGGTATAAAGCCCCCAGCATTGGGCTGTGGAGCAGTCAAACTGCGTTCCGTGGAGTGATAGAGCTCCATCCAATACCTTCGGGATGAGTTGGAATGATCCAGAACTGACCATCCAACATCAGTACCTGACCTCACTAATGCTCAATCAAATCCTCACAGCAATGTTCCAACATCTAGTGTAAAGCCTTCCCAGAAGAGTAGAGGCTACAGCAAATTCCCATTAATACCCTTGATTTCAGAAGCAACACCAGAGGAACTTTTAGACGTATACATCAATAAACAAATGCTTCAAAGACATTTGCTCCATCTTCACAGTACATTCAAAATGAATAACAGCTCAGAATTATTATCATTTGTTTCTTTACAGAAGCACTGCAACCGTGAAGGTCAATTTCACGTCCATATCTCTGGCCAAGAACGAGCTGGGTCCGAGCATTGGATCCACTGGGGTGCAAGCATAATCCATCAGCCATACAAACCCCACCCCCGCTGCGCTTCCCCTGCGGCAGGCCTGAGCACCACTCCAAACCCGCTGAGCCTTCAACTAGCCTCACCTAACACGGCTGTCCTTACATTTCCCAGAATAGCCCACATACGCTCAAACCACTGCCATCCATTACAGTCCCACACAACAGGTTCTGTTCTTGCTCCGCAGACCTCTCTGAAATGCATTATTACACAGGCCAGATTACATTCTCTATTGACTCGGGAGGCAGAAAAATAAGTAGCGAGAGCGAAATAAAAACAACCAATTACCAAGATTCCAATTTAGGCACCCACCAGCTTTTCCCAGATTAAATGAAATCATGGCAGCGGAGCAAAGGAACAGGTCCGACGTGGGATGCGAGTGGGCTGTGAACAAGAAGCATTTAGGGAATCCCAATTTTCAGACCCAAATAGACTTAAATGAACTGCTTCGTGGCTAATCAGCGACTTTTGCGGTGCTGGGGGTCGTTATAATGTCACAAAGGAGATTTTTGAAAGGGCGTCTACACTCCGAGCACGTCTACGTATGCTAAACAGGTAGCTTGTTAGACTAACAATACCCAGATATAGAAGCATATGCAGCTCTTTGTTATAAAACAAGAAGAATTGCCATGTCCCAAGGATGCAGCTGACAAGATGCCAACTAAATGTTGTGTCTGCATATTGTAGAAGTGTGTGCACATGGCTATGCGTAGCCACACAGGTGTCTAATTGCTGACAAGAGGCGCTAGGCTTCGGGAGTCGGTGCCAGCTAGCCCATTACAGAACGAGAGCACAGGTGTTGCCACTAGCTGAGCTCCAGCTTGGACCGAAACCCGTCGTCCTACTGTGCTAGCGTGGGACTGGCAGGGATGCTGGCGCTATCTGGGAGCCCATCCCAGCGTGAGCTAGCTTAGCTTGGCTAACGCACTGACAGACTGCAGGCTAACGTGTTTGCTTTGCTCTCGTCAGCACTGCTCCCACAGGTGCCGGCCGTAATCCAGAAAAAGAATCGCTTCGTGAGGAAACAGGCACAAACACAAACAAGTATTGTGGAGCTGTGACAAGAAAAGTTGGGGGGGAAAACAACAATATCTGATGTTACTGAAGGAAAAGGCTTCCTGTGGCTAATGCTAACGTGTATCTCCTTTTCTGACCTGTGTGAGGTCCTTTTGATCTACTTTTGTCCTCTTAGTGTTAAGAAAAGAATTAGTAAGGGAAGGAATAAAGATGTATACAGTATAAGGGAAAGGTTTTACATATAAAGCAAAACATCATATCGTTTGAACTCAGTGGGATTTCCTATTCATGTTGCCAATAGTAACTCAGCAGGGTTAGAATTTGCACAATGCGCAATGCAAATTGGAGGTTACTATGGGGGTTTTAATTCATGGTGGGCCATGTTAGCGTGTAATTTTGATTCCAGTCGAACTATGGCATTAATTGAGCATGCTCTGTTTAATCAGTGAAGCAGTCAAATGACCGAAAGCACTGAGCTGATTGCTGCATTCCGGCTGTTTTATAACATGGATTTACTTCGCAACATAAGCGACAAACGGACACTTGGCTTTGCTGAATGTTAGTTTAGCTCTCGTCCTTTTTGCTGTGAATTAATAAAATAAGAATGAAAACAGTTTAACAAAGAGGTTTATACAGAAGTCTGGAGAGGACATAAGCTGTTGCTATAACTGTATTATCTTCAGATCACAAGATAATTAACTCGTTATCTCAAGATAACTTTTGTTATCCCGAGATAACAACTCATTACCTCAAGATAATAACTTTGATATCTTGATCACAAGATAATTAGTCGTTATCTCAAGATAACTTTTGTTATCCTGAGATAAGATAACCAACTCATTTTCTCAAGATCACAACTTTTATCTTGAGAGCACAAGATAATTAACTCATTTTCTCAAGATAACGACTTTGTTATCTCGAGATCACTAGATAATTCATTCATTTCTCAAGAAAACAACTTTTGTTATTTGGAGATAACAAGATAACCAACTCGTTATTTCAAGATTACAATGCAGAAAATTATAACTACTTTGGCCTCTCTGTACTTCTGTAGGTTTAACATAATGCAAAACATAAAAAAAACACCAGCCAGTTACCAATAGCTTTTAGCAGAAAATGCTAAATGCTACTTGCTAATAACAAATGTTTTACCACTGCTGCTTTGGTTAGCGTCACATTACGCAGAGATACTCTTAAAGTCTGAGTGTTGAATATTAAAAATGTTTGTATGACAGTAAAACCGATCACTGTATTAAACATTTAGCAAGGTTCGGATGAAAAAACAGCATAGCAATATAAATCAAGGCTTAAAACTGCTGATCAGATCAGAACTTTTAACGAGCACCTGTCATCGACATCCCTCGACCAACACGCCCAGCCTGCTATGTCAGGAAAATCTAAACATAACAGCACAAACAAAAAGAAAGGAATGAAACCGGCTCTATATATGCACATGGTGCTGTGGACTCTGCTTTGTCCAGGACTATAGATGAAGGTCTTAAAGAAGAAAAGTATTTTATTCACTCTTATTGCTGGATGTGCACACAAGGAATGGACAAACAGATGAAAACCAGACAGATGAGCAAGCTCAGCCATGCTCCCTAGGTCACCTTTTGCTTGGTTGTTCTCAAACAATCTCCTCTTGATCTCAGGTTCTTCTCCTAGATGTGGTTAAGTCCAGTTTGAAATCAGAACGAGACTTTAGCCATTTTCTCCTGTTTCTGAAATTCGGCTCCTGACAAATAAAACTCAGATTTTCTCACTTTGATCAAAATGTTGTCACACATGTGGATTAACTCTTCAGTGTGTGACTCGTCTCAGTCCACTCTCACTGAATAACATTAAGATTAAGTGACCTATATTAGTCCCACAACTGGGAAATTTCAGTGAAACACCACATACACACTAGTGAACACACACACCTGCCCAGAGCAGTGGGCAGCCCTATCCACAGTGCCCAGGGAGCAGTTGGGGGTTAGGTGTCTTGCTCAAGGGCACCTCAGTCATGTACTGTCGGCTCAGGGGATCAAACTGGTGACCATCCGGGCCCAAGGCTGGTTCCCTAACCATCCAGCCCACGACTGCCCTCAGGAGGTGCACCAGTCCTGGAGGTACTGCAATACCAGGTCGATGTATGGCACGGAGAAGCAAGCTCCACTGCCGTCTCCCTGTTCTAAAAATCAATTGAATATGTAGTCCTCGTATAGAGGACGCATCGGATATTAAACTGATTAGAACGGATACTGCACTTGATCTTAGCCAAAAGGCATGGAAGCGATGGAATATCACAGAACTCTCTCAGCAGTCTGTCAGTGCAGAAGGAGAACTCACACTTTTCTCCTTCATCACCAGAACGTCTCACAGCAAAATGCTGATGTTAGTCTCCTCTTTTCTCCTGAAAAAGAAACAATTCAGAAATCGGTGATCCTTCATGAATATAATATTGAGATCTGCTTTATTTCCCTGAGACAATGTCAAGAAAGAATTTTTTCCCCTGGCCATAAAGGAGCATAGAGGCGGGACAAGGTAAGGTGAAGGTAAAGCTTTTCTAGCAGTTTTCACCAAAAGAGAAAAATACTGCTGAAATACCGCAGCCATTTAGTGGGCACTGGAAAGTTACTCACAGGATATACTCTGTACATGTATATTATGTGCTTACTAGAGTAGGATTAACCTAATTAAAAAGAAAACACAGATTTAGAATCCCTGGGGCTTTAAAAAATGAAAATGAGCCATTTGGCTAAATCTGGCACATTTAGATCATGAAATATGGATAATGTGTGTTTTGTATCTGTTAAATAAGCAAAGAAAGTAAAGCAAAGCAAAAACACCAGGCTAAGGCCTTACAGTACAACCTGGAGTTTCAGCTGTATTATTTTCTTTTTTTTTGTTTTGCCTCCTGTATAGAGTGGTGTTCCCCTATTAGCCTACTTTAGGATGAAATATCTGATTAGCAAACTCCAGGTACAACCCACTGGAGACTGTATGTCTGCAAAAGGGACAGCAAAATGGCCCATAAAGGAAGAGAATGAATCCTCACACAGAGACAGCTTGCAGTGTCAAGCGCTAATGGGAAATCCAATAAGGGCAAAAGTGTGTAATTCTTAGCCAGGTTTAATATACAGAGAAGTTAGAGGGAGCTTCCCTGCTGCTACGAGCCTATTAAAAAAGACAATAAGACTTCGAATGTAGCTGCCAATGAGTCAAAACCGGTGGTGAAGAGCCAGTTAGAATGACCCCATTTTGCCTAATGCTACATTCATTTGAGCCACTTTCTACTCTCTTAAAGCAACAGTTTGGTGAAAAAAATTAAAGCATGCTGTAGTCGTCAGTGGCCAGCCATGACTATTAGAGCTAGTCCTTCAGTTTGGGTCAAAAAAGTCATAAAAAAAAAAAAAAAAAAAAACAAGTGAAAAAAGCACTTCTATGATTTCTAGTAGTATTCTGGTCCTAAGCCAGGGGTGTCAAACTCAACCACTAAAGGGGCTATTTTAGAAAATCTCACCACATCTTTAGGCCAAAAAAAAATGTTTTTAGTTCATTTTTAATTAATGTTATGCTACAACTTGAACTGGCCATTGTTCATTTAAAATACGCAAAAAACTTCAGCAGTAAAATACAGACACTTAGTAGTAGACCTTGAAATATTACATGAATACTTGAAATATTCAAAATTTGAATGACCCTATTTCCTTGAACTAGACACCTGGCATCCTTTCTTTGCTGCATGTTCATTATTACTTGGTACTCAGTTTCTGAGCTGCTGAGCTGACGTTAGGTGTTTATACTGGCTGAGCTGAAGCTGAGATGCAGCTAGTGTGTTTGGTGATATGACTGGTGTGGAATTGTGTAGAATTGAGTTGAAACTGCTGTCCCATAGACTGCTGTTGGACTAGGAGAGTCAGAGTACTGGTTGATTCCTCTGTCACTTCCTACTTACACCGATCAGGCATAACATTATGACCACCCCCTTGTTTCTACGCTCATTGTCCATTTTATCAGCTCCACTTACTATATAGGTGCACTTTGTAGTTCTACAGTTACAGACTGTAGTCCATCTGTTTCTCTGATACTTTGTTAGCCCCCTTTTACCCTGTTCTTCAGTGGTCAGGACCCCCATGGACCCTCACAGAGCAGGTACAATTTGGGGGGTGGACAGCAGTGCTGGTGGAGTTTTTGATCACCTCAGTGTCGCTGCTGGACTGAGAATAGTCCACCAACCAAAAATATCCAGCCAACAGCGTCCTGTGGGCAGCGTCCTGTGGGCAGCGTCCTGTGGGCAGCGTCCTGTTACCACTGATGAAGGACTAGAGGATGACCAGCACAAACTGTGCAGCAGCAGATGAGCTATCGTCTCTGACTTTACATCTACAAGGTGGACTGACAAGGTAGGAGTGTCTAATAGAGTGGACAGTGAGTGGACACAGTGTTTAAAAACTCCAGCAGCACTGCTGTGTCTGATCCACTCGTACCAGCGCAACACACACTAACACATCACCACCACGTCAGTGTTACTGCAGTGCTGAGAATGATCCACCACCCAAATAGTACCTGCTCTGTGAGGGTCCATGGGGGTCCTGACCACTGAAGAACAGGGTAAAAGGGGACTAACAAAGCATGCAGAGAAACAGATGGACTACAGTCTGTAACTGTAGAACTACAAAGTGCACCTATACAGTAAGTGGAGCTGATAAAATGGACAATGAGCGTAGAAACAAGGAGGTGGTCATAATGTTATGCCTGATCGGTGTATGTTGGTAGTTAATCTACCACATGAGGCCTTCTGTTCAGCTCCTGAGGCCCTAACCAATGGGAGAGCTCGCATGGCTGTATTGACCTAGATACCACAGAGAAAACCATGCTGATTGGATAATTTTCCATTAGGCGTTTCAATATTTTAACCTGTTTATTTCCAACCAAACCGTAACAATGAATTGAGCATTACTATAATACTTAGAGTTTAAATACAAGAAGCATGATGTTTTTATTAAAAAAAAACAAGATAAAAGTGAACCTTAGGTGGTCCTAAGGGTTCCCACCTGGTCAGCTAAAACACGATTGGTTTCCAAAGTTTGCTTCTTTGGGTTTACACCAGAGCTACAAGGCTAATGATGCTAACAAGCAGTGTCCATGTTTATAGATAACAGTGAGTCATACAGTGTCAGAAACCACATAATCAAGTCTATTAGAGATAAATGAACACACAGGTTGAGGTGGGCATGTGATGATGTAGGCATGCCGTTAGCACCATGCTAATTGTTGGGGTATCAGCTTACATGACTTGTTAGCTACTTTAGCCTGGTAGCTCCAGTGCTAAAACTAAAGAAGCAAACTTCAGACACCAAACACACCTTGGCTGATCAACTCTATTTAGATTTAAACTTTTTTCACTGAACTATCACTTTAAAGCCATAGCTGGGAGTTAAAACAAGCAGAAATGTCTCTTGTTGTCTTGTTGGATAAACTGTTGACTGCCCATCAGTCCCTAAATTCATCGTTGTTCTCTCACCACACATCTCTGCTTCCTTCCCCACCTCCTCCACAGCGCCTCTCCAGATCCTCGCACATGAATAATTAAGGCGACTAGCATGTGATTACACAACAATTACTCTCAACTCCTTAAAAATTAAAAGGGCCCCTCATGAAACATTAAGACGCTGGAGTTCTCATTAATGTGGAGCTCCAGGGAAGGAGCCCTCAAAAGGCTCTAGCCAAACAGGACAGTGGCCCAGAGAGGAGGACACTGTTAGAGTGGTCCTAGTGTTCGGGTTATGCATCCACTGCACGAGGCAGAACAGATCCGAATGTACAGAGGAGCTAACAAAGAAAGATGCTGTCAGAAACTGCATCCCTAAAATGTAAATGGTGTTAGTTGCTGCTGAAGCTGACCACAGGCCTAACCCCATGGCTGACCATGTATCAGGGATTAGATATGATTCAGATGATATTTATTTATTTATGGCTCAAAAACGAAAATCAAAATAAAATAAGTTCTTTTAAAATTTGTAGATCTGTAAATAACTAGCAGAACCTCTCATCACTCTCGTTTCTGCATGCTAGCTGAAAAAGAATAAGCATGTAAGAACTTTGACCTTTATTGAAGCTACGGAGCTTAAAATGTCATCTGTTTGTATCTGTTTCATTGATGAAACACATAACTGGATTGAAAGTTCAGCACTTTCCACACATTTTCTCCACTTGTTTCAGTGAACTACAAGTGAAAAATACTTAATATCGAATTACAATATGTTTTGTTATTGCTGGAAATGGCTGTGACTTCTAAGGATTAAGCAAAGTGAGAGTATCTTTACATACTCTCTGATAAACCCTGATGAGAGTGAACTATCTGTGAGAGCGAATCAACATTTATATGAGCTGGTCCTCTCAGCAGGTCCAGTCCCTCATCTGTCACTGTCACCCCTGCACATCTGAAGAGCATCTGAGGCTGAAATTGCTGGTTAACTTCTTTTTATGCCGCTGAATTGCTTGTGATCCACTTTAATAAACATCTCATTCCTTCTTAAATAAAACTTATGAAAGCACTTTCTAGCATACTCATGCCAATTCATTACCACTTCTGATGAAACAGCATTTGCTTCAGCTACAGAGGCTCCTCTGAAACTTTTTCCACAAAAATAAAGTAACTTCAGAGTCTGCATGGTCCAATTTGGTGGGTGAAGATGCCTTGGATGTGGAGTAATTAGCTTCATCAGATATATATTCCTCAGTTCCCTCAACACTGTCGTGCAGTTTAAAGTCTGAGAGGAGCCGCCGAAAAGTCGCATAAACACACCATCAAAGCTCGCACTGATCATGCTCATGAGGTGAACCCCTCCCTTTCTATGTTTCCAAACAACAGTTAGATACTAGCAAAGCTGGAACCATTCAGCAATTAAATAGCTGCCTTGAAAAGCCGCCTGCTGGGTCTTCTGGGTAAATGTTGGCACTTTTGGATAAGACCAAGTGATGCAGAACAGAAGAAGCCCTCAGATCTCTACTCTTGAGAAAAATGCTTTTTCTTTATCTTCACTGCTTTGCAGCTGAAGATCATTTGAGGTTTCATCCAGGCCTGGGAGACAGGGCGGTATAAATGGATGTCGGTGATGACTGACAAATAACCTGATGACAGCGTTTCAAAGACGATTCCCAACTGTCCTTGACTGGGGTTTCCCCCAGAGTTCAACATACCATCGGAGGAAAATCCTAAGCATTTTATGGACAGCGTAAGTGTCCCGATGGATCAGATGAGTTGTAAAATTATCAAAATACAATACTTCAT